CGCGCAGTCGTCGCAGCCCCCAATGCTGACCGAGAGCTCCTGTTTCATGCTCTTCGCGCGGAAGCACCTGGAACGCAAATTGGTCAAGGCGGGCGCAAAACTCCTATCCCGACCCCCAATCCCCGCGCCCGCGCCCAAGCACCGCCCTCAACCCGACACAACAAAGTGACGAATCCGAATCTGTGCTTCTCTACATGGCGGGCCAGCCTCTTCGAGGGGCACGCGATCTGGAAGGACCAGCTGGCACTTTGGGAGGTTGAGGACCAGCTCCGCGGCCAATCCCGTCCGGCACAGCGTCTTGCAAAGCAGCGGCAGGGCGGAGGCCGGATCAGAGCTGCAGGCGCCTAAATCGTCGGCGAACACACTGAGCGCCACCGGCGGCTGGATGGAATGCGCGCATAGTTTTTCAAAGGCCGCGTCGATAGAGGCCTCCTAGATGGGGTCGGAATAAATGGGGTCGGAAGATCGCGCCGCATCGCCAGGACATCGGCGATGCACCGGCGATGTATCGACGATGCGCTGGCCATGCACCGTCGACGTCGGCGATGCATCGGCGAGGTCGACGCGAAGCAAATCGGGCCGCGCAACGAGCCGCATCACCGATGCATCGGCGATGCGGCGCGATCCTCCGACCATCTACTCGGGCCACATCTAGGAGACCAAGAAATGGAAGCACAGACAAACAACAACCCCACTCAACGGGCACACACATACCAATGTTCTTGCTAGTCCCCGCGAAGGCGAAATACATCGAACAGTTGCGGTAAAATGATTCGATGGCACGGACGACATGGCGAGGAAGCCTCAGCGCACGTAGTGCGCCAACTACGAACTGCTTAGATATGCCCGGGAAAGCAGCCTTCAGGTCGAACAGCGCAGCACCACTTTGTTTGGTCATACATACCTTGCCATGTCATTAAAGTGGCGTCCACCTCGATAACATGGCCAACAAACGGTCGGCCCTTCAAGCAACCGCGCTGCGATGGGTGGACATCGTCGCCAGCAACTTTGCCAAGGCCAAACGGCACTGTGATGCGCGAGTGGTCAACCTATGGTCTGTGTTCGACAAAAACAACGGGCGGGTTTGAGCAGGCGTCCGCGCCGCAATCGCACTGTCATTCGCGTCGCCCTTGGCGAGTAAAGCAGCACAGGACTCGTTCAAATCTCAGGCGCGCCCCTCTCCTCCATACTGCGCGCGCGTAATCTGCGAAGACAGTCCCACCCCACCACCCCAGAAGCAACCCAGGCACAGTGCGGTGAGCCATCTGGGCCAAGTGCTGAGTCCACCTCGGCATTCAAAAGGCTGCGGAGCCAATGCTCGGGCAGGGTCCAAGGATGGCAACGCCCGTCGTTCGCGCGGCGCTGGCACTCGTCATCGGGGACGGGGGAAGCCGCGTCGACAAGCTTTTCCATATCCACGGGGTTCGGGGTGCCAACTTAAAAAACATCCCCCAATGGTCGCATATTAGTTTGGCACGGTCACCAGGACCAGATCCCGGGTTGCCACCCGCGTCTACAATCTGCCGCGACAAGATCTGCCTGCCCGAAGAGCGCCGCGAGAGAGGCATTCATTTCAAGCTGGCAATATGTGCTGCTGCTCTGGCGTCTCCTGAACTTGCGCCTCTGGCTTCGCGGGGAAGCAGATGTCTCTCCTTGGCGTCTAGACACGCGCGCAAAACCACTCCCTTGAGTTTCCAATGTTCGGGTGCCCGCGCTGGGGTCCTGCGAGGGCCTTCAAGGGGCCATTCCGATGATGCATATACAGGCGCGCGGTCGGATGGGGCAGTCAAGTCGGCAATGGGCCAAGCAGCGCCGGCACGCGGGCAACCGCCAAGAACGTCTTGGGTACTTAGTGTAGATCCTGTCTAGTCTGCCATGGGATATATCAGGTTCACGAGCAATGCGACGCGCGTCGTGCCCCTGCGCAAGTTCGCCTGGATGCGACAGACAGGAGGCAAAGGCCGACGCGAGTCGATTCGTGGATGGCCTCTCTTCTCCTGTCATGGCACGCAGGCGTGATTCACCCAGTGCTGGGAATTCGAAGTCGCCAGGGACGCAGCAAGTGGAAGAGGAGGGAGACGAGATAACACTACGCGGGCGCTCAGAAATCCCCTCGCCTTCACTTTCGCTCCAGTCAGGCACAACATGTATACTGAACCACTGCAAGGAGCCCCGAGACCCCTCCAAGGAGATGCCGGGCACACGCCCAGCACGTAGGTACTGGACAGCAGCATGATTGAATGGGCCCAGCAGCGCACGGGATATGAAGAGGACGATTTCACCAGCATTCGCCGAGGAGCAGAACGACCCGATTGGAACATCCGACTTCAAATCATTCTTACACTGCTCTCTATCTCCTGGACCCCCGTGACTCTCCTGCCCCAACAACATCATGTTTGGCGAGAAGGGCACGAAGCTTGCAGCACTTTTTACGAAGGCACTGCTGGTCGGTGAAGGCCGACCCGAAGATCATCTGATAATTCCACGTAGCAATGCTGAATATTTTGGAGAACCTGAATGGAGCAGAACCAGACGAAGGCGAGGGTGGTGAGGAAACGCTTCTGGGCGGCAAGCTTACATTCAAACTGGCTTCAGCAAGCTCTGCGCCTTCACGCAACTCTGGCACCGACCCCTCCACCGCCAGCGTACTCTCTTGCCGACTGTGCTGCGGCGGTGCAACCTAACGCACTGCCTGGGAAGCTGCCTCTACGGTCGCAAGCGCACGCTCGCTGCTGATGCCCCACTCCTCACATTCCTCGATGATCGGGTGGAGCTCCTCGTTCTGACCTCCTTTCTTTGAGCACTGCGCCAACTCCCAGACGTTATCGCTCGAGCGCACGATGAGAACCCCTATGAAGCCGTTGACGCCTAATCGGCACGTCGGGTCTCACACGCTCGACTTCTTCTACTCTGCAATGAATGGCTCGAATATGGCATTGAAAGCACGCCGGCGCATCCTCGCATCAATCGGAAGATCATGACGGCACCTGATGGCCGCTACCTTCTTGGTCCTGGGGTCGATGTACTCGTGGCCGCCGTCCTCACTGCACCTGGCTTGGAAGGTCTTGACTGCAACGACCGTCGGGCACGTGATCTTGTAGCTCTGGGAGACGCCGTGGCAGAGGCCCTCCACATTCTCGAGCATGTGACCGCACCTCGGCTCAATCGTCTCTTTGAAGTAATTCTCGCGGAGTGACCGAAGGACTAGGCGATGGAACGTGCCGATGAAACGCGCCTTCGGGTCGACAGGGGTTCGACCACTTGGACCCCTTCTCCCTCCAGCACGCGACGTATCTCCCATAACCTCCCATGGACCACTGGAGCCAACACCACCATCTGATGCCACTGATGCTCTCGACGATCCAGCACGTAAATCGTTCAGTTGCTGCTGCATGCACTCCAACTTCACGTCAACTGCGGCACTCACGGCGGTGGAGATTGACTCTGACGCATTGTCCACAACTTTCAATCGCTCATGAACATGCTGCAGGTTCTTGTCATATCTGTCCGTGGCACCATGAAACATCTGAAACTCCGATTTCTGCTGCACATTTTGCCCCATGATGGTCAGCTTGCTGTTGGCCGACTTCACCTCATCGACCATCTCCTTCATCCAGCTGGGCGGCCTTTCGGGTTCGGGGCTGCTGTCGATGCGGATCCTGTGGTGGCTGCGATCACGACGCTCTCTGCTGCCAGAATCCCACCAGCCCTTTGGGCGTGAGTGGTTTAGAGAGCCCGCTCTGTTCTCATACCCCTTCTTCCCCTTCGGGGAGGGGTTTACCCCTCCCCCTACCCCCTCCCCCTGGGCCTGGAGAGGTCCTTTCGCGGGTGGTTGGAGGAGTCTTTTTCGACTCCTGGGAGGGCAGAAATTCGACACCCCTCACGAGGATTGTGGCCCCGACGGGGGGAGGCAGAAAAGTGCTCGCCCCAGCTGTGATCGATCGCCCGAAAGATGGCCCCAATATGCTTCCCAGACCCCTCCCAAAGAGCCCCAAGAGGCCCCAAGAGGCCTCCAAGAGGCCCCCAAGATGCCCCCAAGAGGGGCTGCTGTCGATGCGGATCCTGTGGTGGCTGCGATCACGACGCTCTCTGCTGCCAGAATCCCACCAGCCCTTTGGGCGTGAGTGGTTTAGAGAGCCCGCTCTGTTCTCATACCCCTTCTTCCCCTTCGGGGAGGGGTTTACCCCTCCCCCTACCCCCTCCCCCTGGGCCTGGAGAGGTCCTTTCGCGGGTGGTTGGAGGAGTCTTTTTCGACTCCTGGGAGGGCAGAAATTCGACACCCCTCACGAGGATTGTGGCCCCGACGGGGGGAGGCAGAAAAGTGCTCGCCCCAGCTGTGATCGATCGCCCGAAAGATGGCCCCAATATGCTTCCCAGACCCCTCCCAAAGAGCCCCAAGAGGCCCCAAGAGGCCTCCAAGAGGCCCCCAAGATGCCCCCAAGAGGCCCCAAGAGGCTCCCCCGAGGCACCCAAGACGCTCCTGGAAACTACTACTACCACCACTACGACCTACTACTACTACTACTACTACTACCACTACTACTACTACTACTACTACTGCTGCTGCCTGCTGCTCACCACTAACTATACTACTACACTAAACTAACTAACCACTACTACTACTAACTACTACTACTACTACTACTACTACTACTACTACTGTTACCACTACTACTACTACTACTACTACTATTACTACTACCACTACTACTACTACGACTACTACGGCTACTATTACTACCATACTACTACTACTACTACTACTACTACTACTACTACTACTACTACTACTACTACTACTACTACTACTACTACTACTACTACTACTAATACAACTACTACTACTACTACTAATACTACTACTACTACTACTACTACTACTACTACTACTACTACTACTACAACTACTACTACTACTACTACAACTACTACTACTAATACTACTACTACTACTACTACTACTACTACTACTACTACTACTACTACTACTACTACTACTACTACTACTACTACTACTACTACTACTACTACTACTACTACGACTACTACTACTACGAGGGGCCCGAACGACTTGCACCAGGACGAGGTGCCCGAACGCCTCACGCCACGAGGAGCCCGAACGACTCACACCAGGACGAGGGGCCCGAACGACTCGCACCACGAAGAGCCCGAACGACTCACACCATAAGGAGGGGCCCGAACGACTCACACCAGGACGAGGCGCCCGAACGACTCACACCACGAGGAGCCCGAACGACTCACACCACGACGCGGGCCCCGAACGACTCACACCACGAGTAGCCCGAACGAGTCACACCAGGAGGAGGGGCCCGAACGACTCACACCAGGATGAGGGGCCCGAACAACTCACACCACGAGAAGCCCGAACGACTCACACCAGGACGAAGAGCCCGAACGACTCACACCACGAAGAGCCCGAACGACTCACACCAGGAATAAGGGCCCGAACGACTCACACCAGGACGAGAAACCCCAAACGACTCAAACCACGAGGAGCGCTTTCTCTCCCTCCTCCTCCGCCTCGTCCTTCTCCTGCTCCCACCACAAGGAGGATGTACAAGGAGGCGGGAGGAAGGAGGAACAGGGGAGATATGCGGGGGCAAGCGGAAACACGCCTGAAAAACACGACTGTCGGCATGCTTCGCAAGAGTTGCTGTTTTGAGTTTGCACCACGTCTGCTTCGACCTGCCGAGGAGGATGGGTGCGGACTCAAGCTCGGTGGACGATCAGGAGAGTATGAGTCACGGCCACCTCTCTCGCAAGCCTGTTTTATTCTCGGGTCCATGATGCTGGCACTGAGCGCACTGCCCCGACCAGGAACTGGAAAGGACACAGCTTACCCAGCCAGGGCAATGCAAGAGAGGCTGGCAGAGGCCGAAACGAACCGTGCTTTGGCGCATAAGAGGATAAGATTCTGGAGCCTGTCACCAAGACCTGGATCCTGAGTTTCCCCTCGGCTAGGACCAAGCTCGAAGCGCGAAGGACGCGTTTCGAACTTGAG